AATACCAGTAGCAATGGTACGAATCTTTGAATGGCATTACAACTATAAATGTGAAATATTCACGTTAAAAAGCGTATGTTTATTGGGTTGCCATTTAAAAGAATAAACAGGATTTTCGTTGAAAACATGAAAACTATTTAAATTTATAAATGGTCTGCTACGATTGATACCACACGATCTGAATTACTCTATATAGAATGGGTTTGTTTCCGGCAATTCTTGCAGACATTCAAATACAAGGGTACCTCTCTCGATAGTTAGATGATTGTATTTTATATTTATATTTCTATGACTTTGTTCTTACGTAAAATGGGTTGTTTCCATATTCGCCTAGCACGCGCCATACCCTGTCGGTGGAACAATACCATACCCTGTCAGTGATACGATACCATACCCTGTCAGTGATACGATACCATATCCCTTCAGTAGAGAGATATCATACCCCGTCAGTAGAGCGATACCATACCCTGTCAGTATAGCAATACCATTACCTGTCAGTAAAGCGATATCATACCCTGTCAGTGATATGATCCCATACCCTGTCAGTGGAGTGACCATACCCCGTCAGTGTAGCGATACCATACCCCGTCAGTGTAGTGATACCATACCCCGTCAATGTAGCGATACCATANGGATTAGGATTAGATGATTAACCTGGTACTATAAATTGTGATATTGCGAAATAATACTTTCATGACTTCCTATTTGATTAATTATTGCGAAATCAACATGTTGTATGCAATGGCATCCGAATATTTTTTTTATTATTTTGGCAAAAATCCAGCCTGAACGAATGACCTACGTGACTCGTAGGGGGAAACCAAAAACCTTCCAAAGGGACATTTAGAAATGAAGTCCGAAAACATTAACAATCTTCTTTTAATTCTTTTAATGGGGAGGATATCCATGAAATGAATTAATAAATTAATTAATTAAAGAAGACGGTTATTTCAGACTAATACCAGTAGCAATGGTACGAATCTTTGAATGGCATTCTTCCGGCATAAAACTATAAATGTGAAATATTCACGTTAAAAAGCGTATGTTTATTGGGTTGCCATTTAAAAGAATAAACAGAATTTTCGTTGAAAATATGAAAACTATTTAAATTTATAAATGCTTTGTTTGATACCCTACAATCTGAATTACTCTATATAGAATGGGTTTGTTGCCGGCAATTCTTGCAGACATTCATTCCCGAAATACAAGGGTACCTCTCTCGATAGAAAGATGATTGTATTTTATATTTCTATGACTTTGTTCTTACGTAAAATGGGTTGTCTCCATATTCGCCTAGCACGCGCCATACCCTGTCGGTGGAACGATATCATACCCTGTCAGTGATACGATACCATATTCCTTCAGTAGAGAGATATCATACCCTGTCAGTAGAGCGATACCATTACCGGTCAGTAAAGCGATATCATACCCTGTCAGTAGAGAGATTACATACCCTGTCAGTATAGCGATACCATTACCGGTCAGTAAAGCGATATCATACCCCGTCAGTAGAGTGATACCATACCCCGTCAGTGTAGCGATACTATACCCCGTCAGTGTAGCGATACTATACCCCGTCAGTGTAGCGATACTATACCTCGTCAGTAGAGCGAAACCATACCATGTCAGTGGAGTGATACATACCCCGTCAATGTAGCGATACCATACCCCGTCAGTGTAGCGATACTATACCCCGTCAGTGTAGTGATACCATAACCCGTCAGTAGAGTGATACGATACCCCGTCAGTGATATGATCCCATACCCTCTCGGTGGAGTGAGACCATACCCCGTCAGTTGAGTGAGACCATACCATGTCAGAGGAGTGATACATACCCCGTCAGTGTAGCGATACCATACACCGTCAGTGTAGTGATACCATACCCCGTCAGTGTAGTGATACCATAACCCGTCAGTAGAGTGATACCATAGCCTGTCAGTATAGCGATACCATTACCGGTCAGTAAAGCGATTCCATTTCCGGTCAGTAAAGCGATATCATACCCTGTCAGTAGAGGGATACCATTACCTGTCAGTAAAGCGATATCATACCCTGTCAGTAGAGAGATTACATCCCCTGTCAGTATAGCGATACCATTCCCGGTCAGTAAAGCGATATCATACCCTGTCAGTATAGCGATACCATTCCCGGTCAGTAAAGCGATATCATACCCCGTCAGTAGAGTGATACCATACCCCGTCAATGATATGATCCCGTACCCTGTCAGTGGAATGATACCATACCCCGTCAATGAAGCTATATCGAACCCTGACAGTTAGTGATACCATCCCCCGTCAGTGACATAATCCCGTACCCTGTCAGTGGAGTGATATCATACCCCGTCAGTGATATGATCCCGTACCCTGTCAGCNCCCCGTCAATGAAGCTATATCGAACCCTGACAGTTAGTGATACCATACCCCGTCAATGAAGCTATATCGAACCCTGACAGTTAGTGATACCATACCCCGTCAATGAAGCTATATCGTACCCTGACAGTTAGTGATACCATACCCCGTCAATGAAGCTATATCGTACCCTGACAGTGAGTGATACTAATTTCCTTGTCAACGGAGTAGCTACACCACACAAATTTATTTTGGTTAATAGATTGCAGTTAACATGAAGGTACGCTGTAAGAATCAAAACAATTTATGTCAAACGCGGTGAAGAAAATGTATCAATGGAAAAAAATATTTACGTTACAATTGAGCTGACAATGCTGTGACAAGGTGTGTACCTGGTAACTAGTATATACACACCTCGAGGTATACAGGCATTCAATATCTAGGGCGGTGTAATGGAAAAACCCCAACGGATTGGAACCATTGACTACGGAAAACTGCCGACGTCACCATTAGTCTTCGGGAATTCCAGATCTGCAGTATTTGTAATGGTGTCATGGTGATTCCTTGTGTGCTTCGAGGAAAGTTACGCTGTCTTGGTACATTTAATGGAAAATTTGACAACGAATCAATATTTCGTTTTTTTTATTTGATGAATTTATAAGCTTACGAAATATATTACAGACATTTTCTCTGCCACATACGACTGGTAGATCTATATCCATGATCGTTAGTCAATTGTGGAATGGTTTAGTTGAGAGAACACATGTACTCATTTGACACTTAAGTCTGTCGCAAGGAGTCCATTTAAACACGTATCCCATATACCAACCATGACAGCCCCAATGCTATATGTAAAATACAATCTTACGTATGGTAAATTTACGCATCGTCAGCCGTCTTTGGGAAAGAAATGACTTAATTTCGGACATTTTTGACACGGACGCCTGTGTCGCCGTTAACTTCCGCTGAATGTATGAAATTTCGTTCAATTCAGGAATAAGTAAAAATGGCTGAAATATAGAAATGCGGTGTAATTGGCGTGGTGTATATACATTGTGAATATCATTAAGGAATATGGTGTTGCTATGCTTGTAGTTCAAATTATTTTCAGTAACTATATGTATTTCGAAGAAATCTATCTATCAATGTTCTGTTTAGCGGTAGTAGATTACGACCGCAGCGCCTGTGACATTTTAAACACATTGAAAAATCAGCTTTCACACCCGAACATAATTCGTCTATACTTGAAGTCACATAACCATTAACAAAATACATGTATAAAATTGATAAAATAGTATTTCTCATTAGTAATCATTATCTTACAACGAACGCATTGTATATTGTCTTGTAATGCCTCTATGCATAAAGCCAAATTATTTCAAGAATGATCTAATCACGACTAATGACCTAGGGTTTGTGAGGTATATGGTATCACGTAAAAACCATGAACAGTGAGCCCATTATTACGATGAATTGGGAACATGGTTGATTTCATGGTTTTGTCACAAATTGTATTAGTACTGCATGTATTACAGTTGTATTAGTACTGCATGCATTACAGTTGTATACTAGAAGACACAAACAAATTGTTTACAATTATTGGTCGAATTAAGCAAACAATACGTCACAATAAGTATAAGTGTATTGTGTCACGCAGTACATTGTCAAAGCGTTTATTGCGGTAAATTGTCCACAGGGGCATGCTAATCAATAGAATCAATAAGACGCTTTAAACATCGTGTTCCAATTGGAGGATGATATAAACCCGAAGACGTCTAATAACGCTTCCTTCACACCAGGAGAGGACAAAATGTACATATTGTAACATAATACTGTAATTGATTTCCATGCCCCTGTGATAATATCCACAGTAATACCTTTTTGTCCATGTCTGATAAATTTAACGGTTTTAAAGACTTTCCCTCATTGTTTTTATCTTTTGTTTTTGCGGGATGGGAGATGTTAAATACACTTTTAAAAACACAAATTTAAAATTATCGACAAAATATATAAAGTAACAAGAAACGGGCAGCTGGACGCTAAAGCGACTTGCGTAAGTTTTTGATCCTCGTGCGATTGACAACTGCTAGTCTGATGCATCCTAATTGCCAGTGGGATGGTTATAGAAGTATCAAATATATACATTTGACCAAATTGAAAACAAGGTATTTCGAAAATAAATGTTTAAAGTATATATACAAACTAACATGTTCATCTTATTTCGAAACATTTCAACACATATTCGGAAATACAAAGTCACGCGGGATGATTCATGATCACAAAATAAATCAATACATTCTAAATATATCACAAATCTTGTAAATGATTTAGAAATTGTCTCAATGAATATATAATTGATTATTTTGACCACGAAATGCATTGAATCCTTATGAATGTAGTAACAATTTGAGTAGTTACTCGATCAATAGTCGACATTTCTTTAAACAAATAGGACGTTTCAGTCAAGACCTTCGGCCAGATGTTAAATCAACCGTGAACTGTAAACGCTTAACTGTGTCGTACCTGTAGCACGTACACAACACGTACAAACACGTAAAGTGTAACGGTGTACGTATTCCGTGTGTATATACCCGGTAATATCTATATTTAACCACGACATGTATTGATTAACTCAACAACCCAAGCCTTAACGCGCATGCCGAGTTATACAGGCAGCGAAGCCTTCAAGTCCTAGCGTGCTACTATACAGGTTATTTATTTATCACCTACATGATCTCATGTACCTCCATTCTGAGGTTTTATTCAGACGAATGAAGTCGGTTATTTACAGCAATTCACTAACATGGACATTTTAAAGGAATACATTGTTGCTAACGAGTTTGATATGGCGTACGTCGCAACAGAAACTGGCGACGTACAGGTGGCTACTAGGGTAAACAATGTAGGCGAGAAACGTAGAAAACTCATTATACATTTTGACATTCGAAATACTGTGTTGGTTTCGGATTCTGTTACCAATGTGACAATGGAGCAGGCTCTGAACAGTTTTCTGACAGGTGTTGTGTGGGGGAAGGAGCGTTCGAAAGGTATGTGGGTATGGGAGTCTTACGAAACGTCTTTAACGCCACCATCTCCAGATGCTATAACATACTACAAACACATGGAGAGAATTCTTGTTAAAACTCCAACCGACAGATGGAATCTTAGGTTGGTCACTGGAGATTTTACTCAAAACATCGGAAAGGCTTTCATGCCGTATTTCACCTCGACTTTGGACGCGTTGAGGTGGAAACACGAAGTGACCGCAGAACACGAAGGAATGACAATGGCTGGAAACGACGGTAAACCTTACCACTACCTCCTAAAATCTGTTTATAAACTCATATACCATCTCGTGGAAAACAATCGAGATTTTGCAATTGTATTCCGTACGTATGGTCTAGATGCTCCGAACGTCATTTCAAGTATCGCAAAAGGGCTACAAGGAGATCATCCAGACTTTCCCATCAAAGATCTTGGATTAAAAGTAACTTTTCAGCATGGGCTGATTACCAGGAAAAACGACGATTCATGTGTTTTCCAAACCGTAGAAAATCAGGACGATCAGGACACACTAGAAGGGTCAGAGATCACGGACGAGCGTGCAATTTACAACATGCTCAACGCAAAGGAGGGCATCTCAGGGTACAAGGATGATTTCATATTCTGGCAGAGCAACAATTACAGTCACGAGGCGGCCAAACCGCTATACGTTGATCCTTTTGACGATGAAGTCCATCACATATTCTTCGACGACAATATTCGGACACTAGAAGATGACAGTATCGTCAACGTAAGGTTGTTTGAAACAGAAGGATGTGCAACGGCGAAAAGTTTGTCCAAAACGGAAGCTGCCAATTTCGAGAACGTGTGTTTGGTGCAGGCGGATTTGTTGATGGCAATTCAAGACGATGACTATTACGTTAAGTCGGTGGATCAGTGTGAGAAAAACTACACAAACTTCGTAAATAAATATCGACTTAAAAGAATGGACGATTTGTGCTCCGTAGGTACAGATCTAAAAGACGAACTTTGTTTACAGGGTAAAGGATGACAGACAATTTAGGGGTACCGCACCTGCTTAGCCTTAGTTTACCAGGAAGAAAAGACGATTTAAGATATCTAGTATCTTAGAGAACACTTGATATCAGCCGACAATCGAGGTAGACAGAAATGTTTCAGTGGATTGCGCCTTTGTGGACAGTCGTGCATGGATGTCGTGTTTCAGTGATATACGTAAAAGGTACTAATACTATAGTATCACAGGCTCGACTCTTAATTATCTAGGACCAAGAAAGAAACCCTGTGGATTGTTGTTTTTGTTTCTCTTTAGTTGCTTTCAGACGCATTTTACGTCCCCCTGAAAACGTTCACTTTTGCAATTAAAAAATGGGGAAATGTTAAAATTTTGGAGATTTAGTCATGAAATGAGCATTTTTCTCTTTTTAATTTGTAGGCCACCTGGGAATTTCAAAGTTTTCAAAATTAAAACGTTTCATAGAAAACCGGACTATCTTTAATGTGTAGTTACCAAACAACGCCGACCGTTCCAGTGGAATGTATAACAGTTTTGGCGAACGGAAAACGTCCCACGTGTTTATTGGAAAATAAGTGTTGTGACAACCCTAGCAATGTTTTGCTGAAAGATTAGAAATGTAGGTGCATTATCAAAGACCACCAATTTCGACACGACTGTTTTTTACCGTGGTTTTAGGACGAGGTCACGTACCACCTACATAAGTATCATGGCTATACGAGATCATGTCCTTGTATATTATCTCGTGGGATTTAACTGAACAAAAGGACTTTGACTGACGGTTAAGCATAGACTCATACCACTGGTATTACCAAAGGAGAATAACTTGTGACTTAAGCGAGTTGGTAAAAAATAAAACTGTGGTCTGGCAGTGGAATTAAGCATTTCTATGGCTGACCGTGTAATGATATACCTTAAGTATGTAAACAGGTCGTTGTAATCTTAAGTTTTTGTTACACTTGATCAATCTAATCCGCAGGCTTCGATCGTTGTCTACGTAAAGCGATTGTGTTCAGGGATCGTGTATATTGCTATTCTGGTGCAATGAGCATGTGTTTTGTTATTTTGGAGATTATAGATGTAATGCATGTTGTTCTCTGACAAGTGAAAATGAATTATGCGACTATAAGTGAAATGTAAGTATGTATGTGCGACTTTCCTTTTCATAAAGCAATATGTGATAACTCTGGTTCATTGTTTATGAGACAAAATACTTCTCCAGCCGTGACCCGGATGTTTTAATCCGTTCTTGACCTCATAGCTCACATAATTGATCAATTTACAAGTTATTTGATTGTCATGGCTTTAGTTTAATATGACTTTGTGACGTCACGAACCTCCGCTGGGTATCACACCAGCGAACCCAGAATTTCTAGTCCAACGTTTTACCACTGAGCTAAAGGCCCTCGACGAGTCGAAGCTGGTGTGGCACTATGTACAATAAGTGTTAAATACACATATACAATTAGTAATGATACTTGACAGCTATAGAACCGAGTTCAATTTTACCTCGATTTTAGATTTACATTATTGAGTTTATCATGCTACACTGATTATTCAGATATCAAAACTTCAAAGTGATTTTTATACACGTTGTAACGCTTCAAATTTTATCCTTCAGTATGTTGATTTCATTATGACGTGACTACCTGTTCTTTGTTTAGCATTTTTTAACATTTTTTGAACTATTAAAACACTCCTGATATTTTTTTATAAAACGAAATGGCTTTATTTGTTTGTTTTTTTACTTATGTAAACCAAACAAAAATAAAACATATGTAGTCTTTCAGGCTTCAAGACAAAGGTTTTCAAAGAGGCAGATACATTCGATAACTAAAAGGGAGATAATTAATGACGAAATGTACGGGAACCTGAAACACAACTTGATACTGATATAGTAGAGACTGACAGGTAACATTGTTTCTGAAGACACAGGCCAAGCCAACAAGCTACAGTATGAGTCGGCCGGGACCCAATACCGATTACGATTAGATTTCTTCGGAATTTATCGGAAACGAGTACTTATATGTCCGATTAACTGAAATACTGACAAAAAATTTCGGTATCCAAAACGGTTACTTATGTAAAATATTCATGTTTGATAAGTTGACTTTTTGAGTAAATGATTTGGCTACTGACGTTGAAAGATATGATAAGTCAGTGTACCATCATGACGTAATATCTTTCACTACAGCACGAATTACACTATTTCAAAACATAAGCTTGTTGAATATATATTTGGTAATGAAAATCTGTCCGTAGATACCCATACAGAAGTATTCAGACACGTACAATAGGTTTTAAGTAAAATATAATTATTGTAAAATAAATTATGTATGCCTTGTTAAAAGCTATCATGTAAATATCAATATGCACTGTAATTGGGGGGGGGGGGGGAAGACGTTGGGGCAATAAATATGTTTAAATCCTATGTTTGACATCCGCTGCGCGCTCTGTACAAACAGTATGGCTTACCAGCTAATATAGTAATCAATATTTTGTGAAATTTATCTCGTAAATATCTCCAAGTATGACCCCCGAGGGATCCGATCTGTCATTGCTAGAGTACGTAGCGGCGGTATGGTGGGGTGGGGGTTATAACGACATTGCAGGTTTAGTTATATGTTGTTTTAGTTCTTTAAAGTACAGCGGCCGTTATGGCGTTTTTCTCGACGTTAAAAACGAAAAATCATAATAAAATGTGTTTAAATGTTTTACGATATATATAGATGGCTTTCTGCTTTACTTACGCGATACATCCGATACATACACTGAATTTAAACCGGCACTATATGTTTTACTCCTCCATATATATAAAATACACGTAAATAACATAATATCTTAAATTAAGCCTTAAATGACACCCTCACAAGTTAATTAAAATTACTTTCAAGTAAAAAACGTAGTTTTAAATAACTAAGAGATGTTGTAACTTTTAATGGGTTATATGTACATGTATATATACACATTTATAGACAGACATGTTCACACATTTGCGACAATTATGTAATAATTATGTCACGAAGAAACTTGAGAATGAAACTTGCGTTAATATCCGTTCAAGAAGTTGCTGCTGCTTTTGACTTGTCAGTACAATCGGTCAAAGACGAGACTTGACCATTAATCATTGATGCCGCCGACCACTAAAACGTATCACTTTGCTTAAAGAGTTATTTTAAAATTAAATTGGTAGGATAGTATTCAATTTCAAGAACGATACTTTTTAAATAATCATCGTAAGGGGTGGATGGGTGGTGGTGGTAGATCTAGAGGGAGGGTTGGGTAGGGTGGACTGGGGACGGAGCTTGAAAATCGATATGAATATTGTCTTATAACACAGTGGCATAGTTCACTATCTCAACACAGCTAGTAATACACACATCTGGTAGGGCTCGTACGCCAGTCGGGCTACGTTCCAAATTTTCAACTCATGTCTTTGGTTAGGTGGGTTTAATTTCAATTCGCGACATAAAAGCTGTCACGTTATTACATATGTACATATACTAGTATACGTCATGCTAAGTCTGACGAAGATGATTTCCTAATCTATTTACACTGCCATCACAAAGGAGAGAACTCCAGTGCCATTGAGCNAGAGTACCTGTTCTTAGTATTGAGATCAGACATACCTCATGTCCCTATATTTGTGATCAAACACACAACCTGTTCGTAGACTTTAGATCAGACATACCACATGTCCCTAGATTTGTGATCAAACAGAGTATTGAGATCAGACATACCACATGACCCTAGATTTGTGATCAAACAGATTACCTGTTCGTAGACCTGAGATCAGACATACCACATGTCCCTAGATTTGTGATCAAACAGAGTACCTGTTCTTGATATTGAGATCAGACATACCACATGTCCCTAGATTTGTGATCAAACAGAGTACCTGTTCTTAGTATTGAGATCAGACATACCTCATGTCCCTATATTTGTGATCAAACACACAACCTGTTCGTAGACTTTAGATCAGACATACCACATGTCCCTAGATTTGTGATCAAACAGAGTATTGAGATCAGACATACCACATGACCCTAGATTTGTGATCAAACAGATTACCTGTTCGTAGACCTGAGATCAGACATACCACATGTCCCTAGATTTGTGATCAAACAGAGTACCTGTTCTTGATATTGAGATCAGACATACCACATGTCCCTAGATTTGTGATCAAACAGAGTACCTGTTCTTAGTATTGAGATCAGACATACCTCATGTCCCTATATTTGTGATCAAACACACAACCTGTTCGTAGACTTTAGATCAGACATACCACATGTCCCTAGATTTGTGATCAAACAGAGTATTGAGATCAGACATACCACATGACCCTAGATTTGTGATCAAACAGATTACCTGTTCGTAGACCTGAGATCAGACATACCACATGTCCCTAGATTTGTGATCAAACAGAGTACCTGTTCTTGATATTGAGATCAGACATACCACATGTCCCTAGATTTGTGATCAAACAGAGTACCTGTTCTTAGTATTGAGATCAGACATACCTCATGTCCCTATATTTGTGATCAAACACACAACCTGTTCGTAGACTTTAGATCAGACATACCACATGTCCCTAGATTTGTGATCAAACAGAGTATTGAGATCAGACATACCACATGACCCTAGATTTGTGATCAAACAGATTACCTGTTCGTAGACCTGAGATCAGACATACCACATGTCCCTAGATTTGTGATCAAACAGAGTACCTGTTCTTGATATTGAGATCAGACATACCACATGTCCCTAGATTTGTGATCAAACAGAGTACCTGTTCTTAGTATTGAGATCAGACATACCTCATGTCCCTATATTTGTGATCAAACACACAACCTGTTCGTAGACTTTAGATCAGACATACCACATGTCCCTAGATTTGTGATCAAACAGAGTATTGAGATCAGACATACCACATGACCCTAGATTTGTGATCAAACAGATTACCTGTTCGTAGACCTGAGATCAGACATACCACATGTCCCTAGATTTGTGATCAAACAGAGTACCTGTTCTTGATATTGAGATCAGACATACCACATGTCCCTAGATTTGTGATCAAACAGAGTACCTGTTCTTAGTATTGAGATCAGACATACCTCATGTCCCTATATTTGTGATCAAACACACAACCTGTTCGTAGACTTTAGATCAGACATACCACATGTCCCTAGATTTGTGATCAAACAGAGTATTGAGATCAGACATACCACATGACCCTAGATTTGTGATCAAACAGATTACCTGTTCGTAGACCTGAGATCAGACATACCACATGTCCCTAGATTTGTGATCAAACAGAGTACCTGTTCTTGATATTGAGATCAGACATACCACATGTCCCTAGATTTGTGATCAAACAGAGTACCTGTTCTTAGTATTGAGATCAGACATACCTCATGTCCCTATATTTGTGATCAAACACACAACCTGTTCGTAGACTTTAGATCAGACATACCACATGTCCCTAGATTTGTGATCAAACAGAGTATTGAGATCAGACATACCACATGACCCTAGATTTGTGATCAAACAGATTACCTGTTCGTAGACCTGAGATCAGACATACCACATGTCCCTAGATTTGTGATCAAACAGAGTACCTGTTCTTGATATTGAGATCAGACATACCACATGTCCCTAGATTTGTGATCAAACAGAGTACCTGTTCTTAGTATTGAGATCAGACATACCTCATGTCCCTATATTTGTGATCAAACACACAACCTGTTCGTAGACTTTAGATCAGACATACCACATGTCCCTAGATTTGTGATCAAACAGAGTATTGAGATCAGACATACCACATGACCCTAGATTTGTGATCAAACAGATTACCTGTTCGTAGACCTGAGATCAGACATACCACATGTCCCTAGATTTGTGATCAAACAGAGTACCTGTTCTTGATATTGAGATCAGACATACCACATGTCCCTAGATTTGTGATCAAACAGAGTACCTGTTCTTAGTATTGAGATCAGACATACCTCATGTCCCTATATTTGTGATCAAACACACAACCTGTTCGTAGACTTTAGATCAGACATACCACATGTCCCTAGATTTGTGATCAAACAGAGTATTGAGATCAGACATACCACATGACCCTAGATTTGTGATCAAACAGATTACCTGTTCGTAGACCTGAGATCAGACATACCACATGTCCCTAGATTTGTGATCAAACAGAGTACCTGTTCTTGATATTGAGATCAGACATACCACATGTCCCTAGATTTGTGATCAAACAGAGTACCTGTTCTTAGTATTGAGATCAGACATACCTCATGTCCCTATATTTGTGATCAAACACACAACCTGTTCGTAGACTTTAGATCAGACATACCACATGTCCCTAGATTTGTGATCAAACAGAGTATTGAGATCAGACATACCACATGACCCTAGATTTGTGATCAAACAGATTACCTGTTCGTAGACCTGAGATCAGACATACCACATGTCCCTAGATTTGTGATCAAACAGAGTACCTGTTCTTGATATTGAGATCAGACATACCACATGTCCCTAGATTTGTGATCAAACAGAGTACCTGTTCTTAGTATTGAGATCAGACATACCTCATGTCCCTATATTTGTGATCAAACACACAACCTGTTCGTAGACTTTAGATCAGACATACCACATGTCCCTAGATTTGTGATCAAACAGAGTATTGAGATCAGACATACCACATGA